TGTGTATCCACCGTGTCAAAGGCTTTACTTAAATCGCAACATGCCATTTCTACTTTTTGTTTTTTGTCATGTGCCGTAACTATATACTTTATTATGGAATTTATTGCTGTTGTAGTAGATCTATTTTTTCGATATCCATGTTGCTGGTTGTTAAAAAGCTTCTTTTTTTCAAAAAACTCTACTATCCTTTATCTGATTATTGTTTAAAAAACCTTTGATAATGATGGTAGAACTGATATAGGCCTATAGTTTTCTAGCTTATTTGCATCACCATTTTTATGAATGGGTACAATTTTTGCAATTTTTAGTTCATCGGAAAATGTGCCATTTTGTAGACTTTTATTAAATAATATTGCAAGTGGTTTATTTATGTAAAGAGCTATTTGTTTTAAAATTACTGTATTCAGTCCATAAATATCTAAGGTTTCTTTTGATTTAAGGTTCATAATTATACTAAACACTTTTTTTTTCAGTAACTTCTTCGAAGAAACATGAAGTGTGGCTAAAATTGTTATGATTGTTTAGAAACTCTTCTGCAGGTTTAGCTTCTACATCATGAAATTTTCCTATGTTTTTAAAAAAAGTATTAAAATCTTCAGCTTTTAAAGTGGATTCTTGAGAACTTAATATTTTATGTTTGTTTGTTTCACTATTGATAACCTCCCATATAGCTTTATTCGGATTGGATGAATTTGATATATAATTAGAATTCCTATTTTTTTTATTTAAAGCTTTATAGTAGTAAGACCTCATTTCTTTATAGGTTTCACATGAAATCATGTCTTTATTTACTTTCATGATTGTTGCAAGACCATCTAGTTGTTTTTTTATTTGTTGAAGTTCTATGGTTTCATTTATTTTATTTTTTCTTTTGGTTTTAACTTTTATATTTTTTTCAGGGTAAGCGGTACAAAAACACTGAATAAGAAGGTCATGGAATTTGGAAAAACCTTCATTGTTTGCCATATATTCATTTTCCTTAAAGTGATTAATTACAAGTGATACAAAGTTGTAAGTATTTTCATCTGAAATTATTTTTTTTTATTACTGTATGAGCTTTTTGAATTTTATTAGATTTAACTGTTAATATTTGTGCATTATGATCCGAAATATGCAAGTTTTGTGTTTTACCTTCATATACCTTAATGTTTGTAAAAATATTGTCAATACACGTAGAAGAGATTTTTGAAATTCTCTTGTTTGCATACAGACTTTTTTAGAAAATCTACATTAAAGTCTCCTGATAAAAATAAATTTGTATCACTATAATTATTATTTACATATTCCAAAACCAAGTTTAGTTTTTCCATAAAAATATTCATATTTCCCAAAGGAGACCGATAAGTAGTAATAAAAACAATATTTTTTTTCTTAATATATATCCCTGCTAATTCTATGTCCTTTTCAATTGATATATTTTCTATTTCAGGTAGTTCTGCATATTTTAAACTACTATGCACCAATATTGCTGCCCCTCCATGAATAAAGTTTTTTCTGCAGAAGTAGCTTGCCACTGAATAGTTGTGGATTCTTATTTTTGTAATTATTTCATCTGTAAGCCAATGTTCTGTTAATCCCAAAATTTGTACACATTTATTTAATAAATCATTATTTAGGCATTAAGGCATTAATTTTTGTTGTTAGTGACTGTATATTTAAATTTATAATTTTGAAATCTTCTTTTGATTCTAATTTAATTTGTTTCTGCTCCGAACTTAGCATTGTTTGGTCGAAAAAAGTAAAATCTCTTTATATAGATTCCATTTGGCCAGGTTTCTGGTTTATGAAGCTCTTCTAATAATTCCATATCAGCTCCCAATTTAAAGGACATGCTTGTAGCTTCTTTACGGCTTGGAAGTTCTTCAACGGTAAATTCTTTACTTGGAAAGTTATTCTTTAAATATTTTTGTATTTCTCCAGCTTAAGTTCCTATTTTGATCTTACTTATACAAAGCCAGGCGTTTTTAACTGCTGCAGCAAAACTTTGATGTTGATCAATGTTATTGCCAATTGTTTTAAGAGCCTTTGGAGTTTCTTTGATTTTTTCTATTTCACAGGTGGTGTTTTCTTGGATTTTTTTATTTTCTTTTTCGTCTATTGCTGTTATATTTTCATTCTTCTTGTTTTTTCCCTTTTTTTGTGGGACCGTGTTCACATTGGCAACGTCGCATATATTTTGTTTGGGTTGCGAATTATTTAATAGGCCAATAATTTCTGTTTGATAATCAATTGTTCTTTCCAATTCAGTTACCAGTCTTTTGGTATGTTGTAGATCCATTTTAACTATTTCTAATTCATGCTTTAGACCTACCTCAACTAAGTTTTGAGAGGTTAAGTTACGTTCGCCGTTATTAACTTCCAATGTGTTTTCCAAGGGATTCACTTAACGTTAGACCTGGTGGTACTTGTCTTGTTAATTATTATTTTAATTAAAGTTTCTTTTTAAGTTTAATTAACTCAGCACTTAAATTTTCGTATGTTGCCATTGTTGCCAAATGGATCTCCAAATTAAAAAAAGAGTTAAACATTGTCTAAAATTTAAAATTCTTCAAAAGTATTTAAAAAATGAGACAAATATAATATTTTAAATACAATTTTGGTTTTATTTTATAATCTTTATTATTTATTAAATAGAATTTTTTTTTAATTATCTAGATACCTAGGTATTAGGTATATTACAAATTAAACAATTAAATATTTTAAATTAAAAAAATAAATCAATAAAAATTTCACCCAAGTTCAATGTTAGGGGTAATTATTTTACAATGAAACTAAAGAAAGTTATAAGTCAATTGATTTCAAGTATTCAGCTTATTAATCAAACAAAAAAACAGCAAAGATATTTGATATAATTAACATGGTAGTAAGTAATTTTATCTTTAAAAAAATGTTTTTTTTTTTAATTATATCTTTGTTATGGGTATGTTTACCTTCTGAATTTATTCTTTCATATATTTACAAACAAAAATACTTTCTGACTGTGTATTTTTATACATATTTTAAATCAGTCGTTAACGACTGATATAAATTATATCAACCGATTTACATTTTAGATGATTTCTTTGCCAAAAAACAAATCTAGTAAACCATTACTTATATTAGCGAAATTACGGCGAACCGAACCTTATAGGCTTTGCCTGTAAGCTGGATAGGTTGATGGCGTTACTATACTATACTCCACTTTTTTTTATTTTCTATGGTTAAAAGCAAATTTCACAAATGTCAAATAAATCTTGATGAAATTTTAATTGTCTTATAAATGTCTAATTTAAAATGTCAATGTATAGAAATCGACTTTTTTAGGGAAAATATAAACGTTGAAAGAAAATTACTCCATTTATTTTATTACAAACAGCTTTTAAAGAAAAATAGGTACGGCCTTGCCATGTCGTGCAAAAACCTATATCCACTGATATGCTGAATCAGTTTATATAAATAATCAACGTTTCCGCATACGGCCCATAGTCGCGGCCTAATTTGTATGGGTGCACGTCACCAATGCAATATAACGACGTCAGCATTACCAGCTTTGAATTATAAAGTTACTGCTAATAAATTTGCAAGGATGGCGCCTTATTTGACGTTTTTTTGTTTTTTTGTCATTTTGTCCTACTCCCACCTTTAAAACGCCCATTATCGTACATGTTACCATGTCACTAAGTGACCTTTTAAATACACCTTGACAAGTTGTGGCTTTCTAGCGTTTTAGTCACGGACTGAAGTTAGCAAAAGGTTTTTAGTCACGGGCTGAAGTTAGTTTTAAGTTAGTTCTCAAATACCATACAATCGTTAAAATAAAGTGCCCTTCTTGTAAAATAATATAAAATGTAAAAATTATTTTCTTATCTCAACACAAAAATACAAAAGTTTCTCAGCGCCAATATTTGAAAAGTTTATATAAACATATTACTTTTAACTTCATTTGGGTAAACACTGTGGAGTGCCAATAAAACATTTTCTTTACTTTCACTGTAAAAAACTCTTTCTATATACGATTAAACGGTTTATTTTCAAGCGATACATTTTGATTTACACATTTTTAAGTTCGTAATTCTATTGTTTCATAGATGTTTCTCCATACAAATATTCAATTTAAATCATTTTTAGATAATAATAAGTGTTTGTTGTAGAAAAAAGTATAGTTTGCAACTCGTTTATAAACTTTTCTAGGCACTCATTTAATTAAGCACTCGCTCGCAAGCTCACTCGTGCATAAATTAAATTCGTGTCTAAAATAGCGTTTATAAAACTTGATACACAATATACTATTATACATTGTGTTAATCCTATTCTACCACTGGATTGTGCAAACAATGTTACAAGGCTTGTTGGCAATGAAAACAGTTATTGCGAAGACATTGCGCTCTCAATAATAAATTTGGGAAAATAACTTTAAGTTTGACCTGGTTTGCTCTGACGACAAAGACGACTGGTAGATAATTTAGTATTTTTGTATTTCTGGTAATTTATTATTTTTTTGTTGTTTCCTCTTTAAACATATTTAATTAAAATTTGACCGTAACAAACTCCTAATTTGTTAGTGTAGAAGATTATAACCCCCCGCTATAAACAGTCAACAATACACGATCGTTATATTGTGCCTGGGTACGTATGAATAGACCTTAACGCTGACGTCATATGCTTTTGATGATGTATACCCATGCAGATTTGGCTGCGACTATAATATATGTTAAAGCAACAATGTAAAAAACTTAAATTTTTATAAAAATGTGGAACATTTTGTTTAACCAAAAGTATTTGCATAAAACACCTTAATCTTCGACTGCCTGTCATACTTTTTGTTACAAAAATTATTAATAATTAATAATTAAAAATACCTTAATGCTGTAAAATATTATTAATTCTATTAAATATTAATTAATAATATTTTTTATTTTAGCTGGTCTTATAGGTGTCACTGGAATGATCCTTAACTCGTTTTTTAAGAATGTATACGACAAGAATATTTTTAATTTATTTATTTTTCTCGTGCATTTTACCTATGATGTGTTTCTTTTCGATGATGCCTTTTTTTTCTATGAAAACTTTTATCTTTTAAAATCTCCTCGCCTACTGTATCATTATTAACACTATCATTATTTGGCCCAGTCTTCATTGTTTGTAGTTGATGTTGATGCTTAAAATTAACAACTTTTCCCAATGGCTTAACATTTAACAATCCTTCCACAGGGTCATTTAAACTTCTTGGACTGCTTGCAACAATCGAGGGCTGTTTGGTTTTCTTACGTAAATAATCCGACATGCCTTCTTCTTCAATTTGAAGGCCTTCCAATACCTCCTGCTTGTATTTTTCCACTTCTTCCTGCTGCAAGCTTTGTTTGGGTTTCGTGTATTGGATATCTGGAAGAGCTATGTCACCCATAAATCCACCTGAAATATAATAGTTTAGATTAAATATATTTGTTGTAAACTGTAAACCAAATTTTATCTTCCTCAACAACAAAAAACAGTATTGGCCTAAATAAAAATTATTCTTTATTTCTAATACAATAACAAATTTAAAAAAAATTAGTTGACGATAGCCATAGCGCGATTGGTATACTTGACCAATAGAGAACCTTTATCTTACACCTAATAGCGACAACAACAATATAAAGGTGTAGCGACACCAATATCACTGTCAGCAAACAAAGATGCAGCAACAACGCCTTCACACGGAAAAAAAATGTTGTGGAAAGTAGTAGAAATTGTTTAAAAAATACGACCAAGAACAATTTGTTAGAAATAATTTAAGAATTTTGTAATAAAAATAAACAACAATTTATTGAAGATATAATTATATATTGTAGTTAAATTACTACAATTTCTGTTTTAAATTAATATTGTTATATATTTTAATAAAATATTGTATTGACTAATGCAATTCTTTATTAAAAATAATACAGATTTGCCGTGCTCCAAAATTGTGTACTTTAAATAAATTATACGTTGATATAAATGCTTTAAGTTTTAGTTAATTTCAAAACAATTGTATTAAATAATTAAACATTTTTTTACAATATGGTTGTTGTAAAACTTAATTTAACTTTTTTTCCGTGCAGAAACCATACCTTTATTTTCAAATAAAGGTGTGGTGACTGAACATTTTAACGAAATGCCTAAAAAAACAGCGCACATATGACAGGGTTTTTTATATAATTTTTCCCTGGATCACACCACAAAATAAAATAAGGAAAGGTCATAGAACATTCTAATAGTATATTATGTATCAAGTTTGATAAACGCGATTTTAGACACGAATTTAATTTAGGCACGAGCGAGCTTGCGAGCGAGTACTTAATTTAATGAGTGTCTAGAAAAGTTACGACAAATACTTATTATTATCTAAAAATGATTTACAATGTTCATATAAACTTTTTAAATATTGGCTTTGAGAAACTATTGAATGCTTTTGTATTTTTGTATTAAGATAATAAAATAATTTTTACATTTAGTATTATTTTAGAAGGGCACTTTATTTTAACAATTGTATGACATTTAACAACTGTCAACTAACTTAAAGCTAACTTCAGCCCGTGAATAAAGCGCCGTAAAGCCACAACTTGTCAATGTGTATTTAAAAGGTCACTTAGTGTCATGGAAACATCTACGATAATGGGCGTTTTAAAGGTGGGAGTAGAAAAACATAATTATTCAAGGCAAAAATCATAACTTCTAAGTGCTAAGCGCAAATACAGGAAACAATGTTAAGCGGAACAATATGTGTTGCGATTTGTACAGAAATACAATTTTTAAAATTTGGAATTTTTGACCAAGAGAAATAACCAGAACTAAACAGCTCAGGTTCTGTCGCATGATTGTATGGGGGCCTTTCCATCCCAAATCGACCAGGCAAAAAGGGATAGGTTGTTATTTTTTAACGAAATTTTTTTAACAGTTTTTCTACCGAAATCGATGCGACCCGTATTTTTTCTTTTTGCTTAAATTTGTTTTGTTCACCCGTAGGAAATTTTTGAAAAATGGGCACATATTGAGTTATGTTTATTTTGTAAAACGAAGAAGAAAGTTCTTTTCAAAATAACGAATTCTTTAGAAAAAGTAATAAATAAATATATTACATAGTAATGATGAACGGTTACCAAAGGCACTGTGTGCAAATTGTAAAAGAAAGCTATATATAAAAGAAAAATCTTGTAATGCATATACTATTGTAATGCCAGATTATTCAGTAGTACATAGTACATAATGATGTGCATTGCACATTGTGCAATACTCGATAAAGTTCTGGAAAATCTTGTGGGTGTGAATTATGTGCAACAGTTAAAAATCAAAGTGAGTTTAATTAAAAAAAAATAAAATGTAGTAAGATTAATGATAAAAAGCTTAGGAAAAAAATCAAACCTGTGTGGAGTGCTTAACAGTTATCGGACAAGGTAAAAGACACACGTGTAATAAAACTGAATTATTAAAAAACTTGAATTCGTTAGAACATAAACAGAAAGAACATTTGGCATGTGATATAATAATGAAAAAATTAAATAATGAAGCAAGTAAAAACAAAGACTCAATTTTATTGTCAAGAAGTCGCGGCAAAGCAATGTCAGTTCATCTTTCTCAAACTAAAAATGATAATGCAATGTTAATATCTGCTGATAGTATGTCTAAAATTGGTACTAATTTTGGATTGTCAACAAACGTAACTTTAGGAATTGACCAAACTCTTCGCATTGCAACAGGAGAAAGAAAATTGTTTGAGATAAATTTAAAAGAAAAACTTCAAGCTTTGAATCATTCTCTTGACTCTCACTTTAACGTAACAAAATGTCAATTGATTAGCACTAAAGCAGGCCAAGTAACGAATACTGAAGAGTACGTTGTATTTTGTAAAAATGTTCAAAAATTGATTGACGAAGTAAAATAATGTCGTGAAGTAAATCAAGCACATATAAAAATTAGTGCAGATAGTTTTTTAAAAATAACTTTATCCATTCAATTGTTAGATTGTGAATCGATGTATTCAAATGATAATAAACGGCAAAGGTACATTGAAGGAGTAGCTGCGAAAAAGTTTAAGGATTCTGGAGTAAATAAATTATTTTTGATCGGCTTAACTCAATTTTCTGAAGAAAATCATAACAATTTAAATATTTTATGGGATTTATTACACCTAAAAGATTTTGATGAAAAAATTTCAGCAGATTTGAAATTATTAAATATATTGATTGGTCTAATGTCTCACAGCAGCATGTATCCATGCGTTTGGTGTACCGCACACAAAAATAACTTGAACGTTTTGGGTATTTTAAGAACTATAGGGAATTGTATCCAAAATTTTGAAGCTTGGAAAAAAAGTGGTGGAGAGAAACAGAATTGTAAAAACTTTAAAAATTGTTTAAATTTACCTATAATTTCATCAAATAAAGAAAAAAAATCATCGATTTAATTCCACCGCCCGAGTTACATTTGTTAATTGGAGTTGTAAATACATTATTTGATAATAAAATATGAAATAAATACAAAGTAAAAAAATCGCATTCTCAATATGCAGAAAAATTACTTAAAGCTGTATGTGAATACAATAGTAGACACCTTTAATTAGTTATAATGTATATATCAAACTTAGATATAGTTTAAAGTTTCACATACAGCTTTAAGTAATTTTTCTGCATATTGAGGATGCGATTTTAAACTTTAAACACCAAATTGTTTTTTTTTTATAAAATAAAATGTATTTCCTTTTATTACAAAAAAAGGTCTAAAATGAATTAAATATAACATAATATATATATTATATCAAAAGTATCAATTTTTCTAAGGTATCCATTATTTCGAAAAGAACTTTCTTCTTTGTTTTATATAATAGACATAATTAAACGACACCCACTGTTTGATAGTGGTTACTTATGACTTAAATTTATTGGTTTCATTTTTTAAATATTATTAAATTTTAGCTCGTTTTTGATGTTAATAGTACTGAGTCTCAAGACACACTAAAATCAAGAGGAAACAGGCGCCTGTGATTACTTAACTTTTTGAAATAAGTCAAAATAACTGTCAAAATATTTATTTCAAAATAAATAAACCAGTCTTTGAGAAAAAACGTACAAATTGCTCTTTTTTGACGTAGTTAGTGTATCTAACCTCTTAAATAATGTTCTTATATTTAATAAGGCGAAAAAAAAAAAATTTGGGGTTCTAGAACTACATCTAACTTTTTTAAACCACACCGTGGGGTTTGAATAATTGCTCAACAATTTTTTATTTTAAATCTACCAATAAATTAAAATGAAAATATGAAATCAAATGAAAATTTATTTTCTAAACATAATAATTATAATATTATTATAACATGCGCATTAGTTTCTAGACCTCTTAGGCTTAATACTTATTTCCCTTCCTTAGTCTAAAAGAGTTTCGCTACTCATATCTGTTAATAGACCAAAATTTTTCCGAATTGTTTGTGTTCTACATTTCTTCGAAATCGCGATTTTATAAGTTTCTTCGATTCGATTCATTACTTTTAAGTATATAATACTTTATTTTTATTATTTTAACCAAAATTAACTTTTTATCTTTTAAAACATGCAAAAATATTAAGAATTTTACTCTAAAATCCTTATAATTTAATTTTCTCACAAAACCATAAGTGACAAAAATATTTTAAATATGTCAAAAAGTTCTAAACTACACTTTATAAAGATCACCCCAGTTTCATGACCCTGGATAAAATACCAAATTTTTACGATGAACCACGAATTTACTAGAAAATGGCATTTTCTTTAAAAAATTATAATTTCTGTACGACGAATTTAGCCAACACGGGACTTTTGGTGAAAGTTGTTCATATTATCAACTTTAAACGAAAAAAATATGAAGAAAAAAAAATGTAGCAATGTCAAAATTTTGACCTCAATTTTTTTTGCGTTTTTAAGAAAAAACAATAAAAAAATTGTGTAAATTTGCTTAATTTTTTTATATTATATTATATTTTTTTATGTAGTAAACATTTACCTACAATTAAAAAAAAAATTGTAACGATCAAAACATTTTTGGCCAAGTTATCGCATTTTCAAAAAAAAGGGAAAAATCGATGTTTCTGTCCATTTTTTCAAAAATTTCTTACGGGTAAATAAAACAAAATTAAGCCAAAAGAAAAATACGGGTCTCATTGATTTCGGTAAAGAAACTGTATCATATATAAACTGGCATTAAATAAAATGAAGTTGCTAAAACAAATTATGTATGATAAATATTTACATTTGTAACTTTAATTAGTCATTGTTGTAAGTGTTTTAAATGTTAAATATTTCAATAAAACCATAATGATCTTTTATCATGGGAGGAAACATATTTTAAGAAATACTTGAAATCGATATTCTCGAAGACACGCTAATGCATCGTCACTATTTTCATCTTTATCATCATCATCA